CATCTCCCTCACCTCAATTATCTTTCCCCCGCTTTGCAATAGATGTCTCGATATCATGTACGTATCCCAGTCATATATACGATCTCCTCGTCTTAACATGCCACCCGCAGTGCTACGCCCTACACGCTGAGCGCATACAAATGCGGGCACACTTTCTGTGCACTTTGTTTGTTGAAATGGTATTTTTCCACCCTCCATGAGTGCGGCGATTGGCACCAGCCTGTGACGTGCCCGTTATGTCGAGCGGTCCCCATCATGACTGCCCCCGTGGTCAATTCAAGCCAGACACGCGCGGAGTGGACGTTCCCCTTCGTCCCCGCGCGCATGGTCGACTCGCTCCTCGAAGATTCTGTTCACAAGCTCCACAACATGTCGACCGCGTTCTCGGGCGCATTCCAAGCCGTTCACGACATTATAAATCCCATATCCCCGCGAAAGAAGCAGAAGCAGAAACACGATCCTGGATCAACCTTGCTGGTGGAATGGGGAGACGGAGGCCCACGATGGATCGACTGGCTCGCTAGGAAAGCGTGCGTCCTCGTATTTTGAGGTTGATAGAGCGACCTCCTAACTGGTACTGTATACAGACGCGGGCGTGTGGAGATGGATTGCCTCACAGACAAGTGGACCACTTTTACCCCCGTAGAGTGCCTCGCAATGAAAGTCCGCCTTGGTGTTTGAATTGCTGTCCCACTAGTTCCCTCCCCCCTTGGTAATGTTTTCGCATTCATGCATAGTTTTCGTGTTTACTCCGGTATGTGTCGTACTCAATCATCCTCCATGCATATCTCTTCGACCAGTACTGTGCAATTCACATGTAATTCTCCGGATCCATCCACCCATATATACTGTACATTTGTAATCAGTGCCCCTCGGACCCTTGTACGATATCGCATAACTTTGTGCTTCGTCTTGCCCGCCGCCGATAGATGCATATATCACAAGAAGAAGCAGCGCTCGCGAAGGCCGCGCATCCCCAGTAAGTCCTGTATGTGTCCATAGAAGTCAGCCATGATGGCATCGAGAGGAAACGAAAACAGGACGAAGAACATACCCAGTCGCGCGAGGTGACCCATAGATCTGACACACCCTCCATCTTCCCAAGGGCGGAGCCGCCCTTCCACACAAGCTCGCGTAGGTCTACATCCTTGGGTCCTGCTGCCATAATCACCTTTTCTATCATTGGCAACAACGGTATCGCAATAGCTTGCAACCTATTCCACAGCTGACCTGTCAGTGGTAAAATCAAAACAAGCGTATGCAGAGTCCACGCACCTGCTCTGGAGCGCGTGCGCCATACCGGGTAAGAGCGCCGTACCGCCCACGAGCAACACGTTCTGCAGATATTTCTTTATTTTGTCGTTACCTCCGGCTGCGCGCGTGCTGTTGAAAATGGCGACATCCAGCGGGAGCTTGCTTGCTTCGAAGGCAATATCGATATCTGCGCGGGGTTGGTTGTATACGCCTGGGGGAGCTTGCGGAGGCTCGACATAGCCTGGATCTCCTAGAAGCACCGGCGCGGGAACGGGCGCAGGCGTGGGCGTCGACGTCGAGGTAGATGCGGAAGGATCGACGGGTTTGACGTCGCCTTCGACATCAATGTCCATAGGGATTCCAGTCGCGGACACTTCTTCTGAGGTGAGCGGGAGGGAAGCACTAGTTGCACGCGGAGTTGACGGGTCGCCGCCATCGACCGGTGTACCAGAGTTTTGAACAGAAGTTGCGCCCGACTGGCCTGATCAAACATGGTTGGCGACAATGTAGAGTAAGTATAAGTATAAGTATAGAGATACAATACCTTCTTGAGTGTCCGATGGAGGTGGAAGTGAGTCACCGTCTGGTTGGATTGGCCCGTCATCCGTGAGATCGATGACTGGAGGTATTTCCGCGACAGTGAAAAGGTGCTGTGTCGATATAACCATAGCTTGTGTCTGTAAATATTATAAGCACCTCTACTGTGACCGGAATCCACCAAGTCACATACATATTGCTCTGCGTGGAAATCACGATGTTCGCGGTGGTACGATATCTCGTCGGAGACATCAGGGTGCTGGATAGGACGCATGCCAATGCGTCGCCTGTCGAAATCGACCACGCGGGGCTCGAAGAGACACTGTAGGCGAGGACATCAGGGAACTCCGAGGAGATCTTTGAACGCATCATACCATGGGTGCTAAGATGACTTCATCATACGCCCTAAGGCCGTACTTCTCTGTTGGTTTTCCCGGTCGTCGAACGACGAAATCATAAAGGTTGAGGGCGACGTCGCCCTTCCCCAAATGATGTCGGTCACAAATTGACGTACGTGAATGCTTAAACGCACCTCAGAGAGTGTACACAAACGAGCTTTGAGATCTTCCATAACCATCCAGTCATACGAACGAGCCAAATTGATGTCTCGATATGGAATGTTGATCTTCTGAAGAAGGGTGTACAGGAATTCGGTGACATGGTCGCCACCCATGTTGAGGTACATTCTAAGTAACCTCAGCATCAAACGTTTCATGAAAGGGTGAATGCCCACCTTGTGTCTGGTAGAACCATACCCTCATCGACACAGGCAATGTTGGTCATTTGGGCACCCATGTTCACAACACAGGCGGCTGTGATCCCGGAACCGTAAGTAGCAGCCAAAGCTTCCTACGATGGGGCGTAAGCAGGGGGACTCTTGTGATACTGCGCGAGACTCGCCTGCTGCGCGCATAACTGCTTGAAGCCCATGGTTTTGAGAAACAGGTCAGCCATGTCATGCAGGTATGGTCTATCGTAGAAATCCGGGATGATCAATATGACAGAGTGATCCTACCGAGGAGACCTCAGGGTGAGTGTCGCGAGGAACGGACTTAGCATACACACGTTATACGCGCTCGGCTCGATTCCAAACTTCTCCTTTAGGGTGGTTTGTATGATGGCCTCGATATCGTCCATGATCATTTGGTTCGAAGGATAATCTCGCGTGTTGAATTTGCCTCCACAGATCGGCCACCTCAACACATAACCAAGGTTGACAGGATCGGCGAGTATAAGAGCCTGTGTTGGGATGTAAGTGGGTATACCGTGATAAGGCCATAAGAACAAAATCTACCTTTTCCCCTACCAGGTACGGATCATCGAGAGGCTCCTGTATCCAAGGTATGCGGAAAGGATCGTTCTCTTCTGCGATGATCTCGGGTTGGAATTGCTCGTTAAACATGGATGCTTTGTGGGCAGCGTCGGGTGTGACTCTGAATTTGTAGAAACGCATCCTGTCTCGGAGCGAGGTCTGAATTATGCTGACTTTTTCATCATACTGCCCATAGACATAAGGAGGCGCCAGCCGTCCGTATGCAAAGGAAACACTCACGGGATCATCGGACGCGGGTATAACCGCGTATTCGTCTGCGTTTGAAGGAGGAGCAGGCTTGGATCGATTCTTCCGCGGCCTTGTTATCCCTTCGACAAAGACAGGTGGTGGAACAGGCGGTTTCGTCTTGCGAGCGATGACGTTGGGGACAGTGACGGGGGCAAGATCAGTCGCACGACCTATCCGAAGGAAACGCGAGCCGGGGTGGACGACAATTGTGTGAGAGCCGCGCCTGGACTGGTTCTTAGCTCAGAAGCGCAAGGACATAAACATGATACGCAAGGAAATAGCACACCTCTGGAGAGACGAAGGTCACTTCGTCCTTCTGTCGAGCAGCGTTGCGAGCCCATAGGGTTTGCGACTCTGATTTTAGATAAGCACTCGTGGAGTGTTTGGGGTTACGTTCAGCCTTTGCATCCCCGACAGATGTTAGACTGGATAAGGCATTACAAGTGGGAAACGTACGCCAAGGGTACATGAAATGTCGTGTATCTCATTCCCTGCGCGTCCTCGCGCTTGTTATTTGGTATTCCACGCGGCATGGTACCC